CTCATTGCAGAGACACTTGTGCATCCATGTTTGTTGCTGCTCTTTTCACAATAGCTAAGAGATGGAAGCAACCTAAGTGTCCCTCAACTGATGAGTGGATAATGAAAATGTGGTTCATTTATATGATGGAGTTTTACTCAGCAGTAAGAAAGATGAAATCATGAAATTTGCAGGTAAATGGATGGAACTAGAAACTGTTATACTAAGTGAAGTAACAAAGACTCAGGAAAAACAAAACAAAACAAAAACGACGTATGGTCCAGACATAACTACAGGAACCAGGATAATGAAAAGGAACCAGGGAGGTAAAGGAAAGGAAAGAATCTGAAAGAGAAGAACAGTAGGAAACAGGTATTAACAAGGGAGATATGGGAGGTGGGGTTATTTTAAGGGGAGAGGGGGAGGAAAGGTTGTACAAGGAACCTTGGTGATAAAAGGAAAAAATGAGCTCAAGAGAGGTGGGACTATAGGAGAAGGGTATTATTAAGGGAGAAATGGAAAAATTGGGTTACTTTAAATGGGGAAACCATGGTGGAATGGTTAGACAACACGAGAGATAAATAATGCCTAGCTAGTTTAAAAAAAAAAAACAGAGGGAACCATATTAGTCAAATAATCTACTGACAAATTATACATACAACTAGCTGAAAGAATATAATATATATCTAGGCAAGGTTTATCTGAGAACGTTTGGTCTTTGCACAAGTTTCATCTACATGGCACATGGTAATTAAAAGTACCAGACTGGTGGAAGTAGCCTTCTTGGATGTTTAACCACCATACTTTGAGGCCTATACTAATTTGGTCAGAGGGACATAAAGGACAGTTTTTTCTCCTTGCCCTCCTAGGTCAACTAAATTCCAGGGGACTATGAGCATCTCTCAAAATGTCTTGTAACTGTGGCGAGTCATCTGTCCTCTTGATCAAGGAGGCTGAGGAGACCCCATCAAATGGACTTGAACCAGTGTCCAGTCTACAAAGAGGAAGGTCAACACAGAGGAAACATTTCCTCCATGCTTCCAAGTGAAGCCAGCCATGGTCGAGCAGGACCTTTGGCTTTTCTTCACATAGATGGAACTGGTAAAAGACAGGAGCCAGGGGCTCCTCCCAAGCCCATGTGACCCCTGAGGAACAGATCCTCAAAAGGCCTTAGGAGTAAAAATAAATTGGTTTATCTGGGCCAACTGTATGGTCTTAAACACTCATAAGGAAAGCATAACCAAAGATTAAAGGGGTCAATATAATTTTAAGAGTCCATGTGTATAGCTAAAGGCTACGTAACGAGCAACAATGCCAGACAGGAGATACAACTCCTTTGAGTTGTTGGCCAGGGTAGCCCAAGAGACTCCCAGACAGTAACCCAGCACAGAAGTGGGAAAATGAACAGCAGACCCCAGTCTTATCTAAAGGAATATTGACAACTGATTGCTGCTAGATGAGGGACAGCTGATCTTCCTAAAACAAGGGACTCTAGATAGGTTGACTAGATTGAGCAGATGGACAAGCTCTGGGGAATGGCTGGGGGCACCGACAACAGTGGACAGTAACAGGGATGACAGAGTATATGGGCTCCAGTGGAGGGGAGAGAGGCTATGGGAGGGTGCCATTTGGGAAGTGGGTATATAGATGAGTAAGATTGTTTGGGATGTTCTGTATGAAATGCACACATAAAAAAAATCAACAGATTTAAAAAATGAGTTAAATTTGAGGAAGAAGCATAAAAATTTGCTTCATTTAATCAGTAGAGGTGAAAAACATTACCATTGAAATCTACCTGATGACTTTATATCCATACTCAGGTGCCAAGGATTTGAGTATAACCAACTATGACTAGTAATGATCTGATACATAGCGATTAGAGATGCATGTGCAAACATTTAAGTGTTATTGTATTAAAAGTAAGTTTTTCTGTATGAAACAGTATATTTTAAAATGAAATGGAGATCTTTCTTAAAGGTTAAAACATCATTCAATTTTATGTCTTATAGGGTTTATATAGCGTTCAATAGCGTATAACTGTATTAATTCAACTATGAACCTAAAAATTTACAGCCACTTTTGAAAGAGATGCATCCTTGCTCTGGAAATTGTTAGTGAATATGTTAATGCTGTAATGAAATGCTTCTTCTAATCATGTGGTTATTAAATAAATATTTTTTTAAAAAGAATGTGAATGGGGGCTGGAGAGATGGTTCAGTGATTAAAAGCACAGGGGATCTAGCCTCCACAGGTATCCACAACACGGGTGCATTTACATACAGGCAGAACACTCATACACATGAAATAACAGTCTAGCAGTTGCTTAAACTACCACCATATGATCCAGGAAGTCTTAGGTATATACCAAAACAGATGAAAATGTGCACACAAAAACTTGTGCACTGATGTTTATAGTAGCATTACAATTGGTCTAAGGCCAGCCTGGTCTACATAGTGAGTTCCAGGACAGCTGGGGCGACAGGGAGACCCTGTCTCAAAAAGACAAAAAAAAAAAAAAAAAAAAAAAAAAAAAAAGCACCACTTCTCTAAAACATGGCACCTGTGCCTCCGACAAAACAAAAACAGAAATCTCCCTTGTCCTCTTTCCCTAAAGCAGGCTGTAATGGAATTTTCTGACCTTCCTCTAAAATCAGCCCTGAACCCTGAAATGGTGCCCATCCTACATGCAGAGAAACAAAATCAGTCAGTCTCTCTCTCTCTCTCTCTCTCTCTCTCTCTCTCTCTCTCTCTCTCTCTGTGTGCATACATGCTTCTTAGTTTATCTTGCAGGGGTGAAAAGACACACACATAAATTATATTGTATGTTCAGATCTCAAATCTGATTTTAAAAGATGTAAATTCAAGATTAAGGACAAAAGTTTACCAATCTACTAATAATCATAGTTGTGATTTTAAAAAAGAAGAAGAAGAAGGAGAAGAAGAAGGAGAAGAAAGAAGAAGAAGAAGAAGAAGAAGAAGAAGAAGAAGAAGAAGAAGAAGAAGAAGAAGAAGAAGATATTTTTAAATTGCTAGTAACAGTATCTGGGCTTGAATCCTAAGTTATCCCTTCAATTACTCACCAGATCTCACTATTCAGCTGTTATAACCTCTGACTGCTGTATTTTTATACTCTCCACCTAATCTGGGCTCTGGTTACTTCAAGTCTACACAATCCCTGTTTTTTTTTTTTTTGTTCCATTTACTTTTCTAGACATAGCCAGTCTTTAAAGTCAATTACAGTTTTCTTAGTAATTGTCTCAGAAAGCTAATGTCCTCCCAGTCAAATTCAAATTCCTCCTCCCAGTATTCAGGGCTTTCAAGTCTGCCCCTGCTCTGTCCCACAGCCCAGATTCACTGCCCAGGACAGCCAACAAAAGAACCTCCTTCCTGTCCCGGGTACATGCTCCATCCCTTCATTTCTCTGCCTTTATCTGTTGTGCTCTAAATGCCTGCCTCTAGCCTTACCTCTCCCCTCTGAATCATTCAAGTCCCCTTTCAAAGGCCCACATCACCTACGGGGGATTTGTGAAGAACTTCAATGACAATGATTTCTTGTATTTCCTTGCTGCTTTTAGGCCTTCCTGTCAGCTACACATCTTGACATTTTATTCATGTGACACTCAGCATTTGGTTTATCCATCACGTTATTCCGTCGTCTGACCTGCTTGCCATCTCATCACGTATGATTTTATTATTCCACAAGAAGTATCTTGTTTCAGTAAGATTGTCACCTCCTTAAGACAAAGATGATCTCTTAGGGGCTGGGGATATAGCTTAGTGGCTGAATGCTAGCATGTGCTAGGTACTAAATTTAACTCCCAGTACCACCAAAGAAAAACATTCTCACATTTGAGTGTGTCACAGACCCATACACCACAGTGCTAGGCCCAAAATACACCCTCAAAACTTTACATAATTGGGCTGTGGAGAGCGCTTGCTGTGCAAACATGAAGACCCGAGTTTGATCCCCAGAACCATGTAAAAAAGCTGGCCACGGTGGCACACACTTGTAATCCCAGTGCTCAGGAGATAGAGACTGGAATCACTGGGGCTTGTTGGCTAACCAGCCTCTAGGCCAGTGAAAGGCCTGAATAGAAAAACAAGGTGGACAGCATATAAGGAACAACAGCCAAGGTTACACTCTGGCCTCCATATGCATGCAAGCCCACACACACGTGCACCCACATAAACATGCACACAATATACATATACGGACAAACAGCCTTTCTATAATTCACCTGACTAGGAACTGTAACTTGCCATCAGATTTCCCACTACTTTATATCCCTTCCTACTATAAATGCAATTAATAGACCCAAAGTCCAAAAGGTGAGCACAGTACCTTATCATACTGACAGACAATGACATTATCTGTGTCAAACAGGTCTGGCACATCCTGTTCACTAACATCATCTCCAGAATTTAAAGGATCCTAAAGATGAAAGATGATCACATTAAGGAATTTCATGATGCTTCAAATTTTTAAAAGATAGACACAGAAGCAAAGGAACTTGGAGAGGCAGAATGATTTTGCTTTAAAGTCAAATAACCTGGGTTTGAATCCCAGCTTGGCAATTTACTAAGTACATGACTGACCTTGGGCAAGTTACCAAAATCCCCCATATCTCAGTTATCTCATCTATGAAATGCAAGTATAATAAGACCCACAGGATACTGAGACTATTACAGAAAATAGCTCAGATAAGGTGCATGGATAAAGGCACTATTAATGATAGTCAGTATTCCTCACAAACTTCTTAACTACCACCTTCTCACATTGTATTGCATTTATTAGAAATAGAACAAAAACTGATTCCTCTAAACCCCCAACTATGTCTACTTAAAAGCAAGAAATATAAAAGCCAGTTCCTAAACACTTAATAGTATTATAAATTACAGTTTAAGATACAAATAACTCTGATTTAAAAAGACTAAAGACAGGGGACTGGAGAGATGGCTCAGCGGCTAAGAGCACTGGCTGCTCTTCCAGAGGGCCTGGATTCAATTTCCAGCATCCACATGGTAGCTAACAACTGTGTATAACTCCAGTTCCAGAGAATTTGATGCCCCCTTCTGACCTCTGCGGGCATTGCATGACACGTGTGCACTTAACATACATACAGGCATGACACTCACCCACATAAAACAAAAATTTTTTTTTTAAGATGAAAGATAGGGTTAGTCTCAACTGTAATTGCCCTTGGCTCTGGAGTACACTGAAGCTTGAAGCTTCTAAGTTCATAAGCCAAGTCTCGTCTCAGAAGAGCTCCTCACCTCTTCCACAGTGTCTACTTGGCGGTCTTCATTATCACTGCTGTTCGCAGTTGAATCTTCGTTTGAGGCACTGTCCGCTTCTTCCTCCAGCACCTTCAGATCACCTGCATCGGCAGTCCGAGGGAACTCATTCTCATCCGCATCTCTAATGCTTCCTACCTCTTCATTAGAGGATGCGTCACCAGTTCCATCTATCTGAATTATTTCATTAAGGTCATCATCAGTTACCTGGATGTTCAAATCCACCTCAGAATTAGAATTCTGCGAAAAGAAAAGACGTACAATAAAGTTCGGCAAGGCATTCAAACACGGTATCTGGATTTTAAAGCACTTTGGCAAATATTCTACAAGTGGTCATTTAAATCTATTTCTGACTTATAAGATGATTCCCTCTCTAGTTTGGGGATTTCAGAAGATCTCTAGCATTTCTATTTAACATAAGAATGACTTTTCAATTATAAATTAAGCAAACACACTACCACGCATAGGCACCAAATGAGCCCTTGGTTTCAGATACTGAAAAGCTTTTGCCAGCTTTTATTCATGCCACCTGAAACTACATACAGCTGCTGAATTTTAACTCTTACATTTGATTGCAATAATCACTGAATGAAGGAGAAAAGATGAAGGAATACAAACACAAAGGATTGTACAAGTCAAATGAGTCAAACACAGAAGGACACACAGACCGTTTCACTTAATACAAAGTGCTTATTATAAGCAAATTCACAGGCACAAAGGGTCAGACAATGGCTATTACGGAGAAGAGGAAGAGAGGAATGGAGAGCATCATATAGTGTTTCTATATGAGATGAAGAAAACTTGGAAATTGATAGAGATGGTGGTTGTGCAGCATTGTGTGTGTGCTTAATACCACTTCATTATATGCCTAAAACTTCCAAATGTTAATTCTATGTTCTATGTGTTTTACTCGGACATAAATAAAAAATTGGAAAAAATAAATTTAGTTATTCATGCTGGTCACATAGATAACTACTTTTATGATTATCTTTATCAATCAGAGCTTATAAGCCTCTGATAAATATTTTATAGGCATTTTCTAATTTAAAACTAATTGCAACATGCTGAGGTAAGATACAATAGCCTCCTCAGATCACAAAGCTAGCGAGGAGCAAAAAGTTTGACTATAGAACCCATGTCTAACTGTAGGTGCTTCCCTGCCAGCACACCACACTGACCTCCCATAGCCTGTCACAGACGGGACAGAGATCCACAAAATGTTAAGCTTCCTAACAGTAGGACCTATGTTTATCATCCATGCCACATAATTTATGGCAGGATTCCTAACCTTTTTGACAAAATCAGCTCCTTAGAAACTTACTGAAAGGCCAGGCATGGTGCTCCATGCCTCTATCACAGCACTCAGCTAAGGCAGAATTATCACTGTGAGTTCAAAGCTACTGTCTCAAATAAGAAAGCTTAGTAAAAGTTCCAGATGCTGTCATGGGAGTAACAGAACTGCTGGTTGTCTTGGAAGCACATCCACAGGTTCGTATATATTATCTATAAGATTAGGTACAGAAGTACAGCTCAAGGGCATGGAAAGCGTGGCTATCAGAATCAGAGTCTTTATTATATTAGCGTAAGGAATCGTGAGAATCTGTGTGGTCACTGAAGCTAAGAAGGCTTCCAACAGGGCCCAAGGAGATTTATTATGTTTTGAAAAAATATACTTTATGATCCTATGTGTATTGAGGTGCAGGTGACGATAACACATCTCAATGCATCAATTTAAGGTACTACTCTTCAACATATGAATATACTCAACCTATCTTTTTGGTGGATGGCTGCCCCTCTGGGATTCATACTCATATAAACATTCTCTACAATGAATCTTCACAAAGTACCTTCAACACATAATCATATACAGAAGAATTAACATTAATAAACATGTACTTCATTTACATGCAGTTAATTTTTACTACATTAGAAACAGATTTCCTTTACAGATGGAATAAAGGTACATCATACTTATGCAGAAATAAATGGTTTATATATGTACTCAGAATGGAAATAAGTCCAAATTAGAGAAATAATTTTTATTCATGTACAAATATAAGTTAGGAAACCATCTTAGGGCTTCCACTACCAACTGCAGTACAAACGCTGAGGAGAATGCCACAGTCACAGGAGCGAAGAGCAAGGGCCAAAAGACTATCACACCATAGCTTGGCTGGACTCCATCAAAAAGTCCATTGGGTACAGGACACTGAAGGACAATAGCCCTCGGATATATAGAACATATCACTATGTCTCCCTATGAAACAAATAATGCCCATCTCCAAGTGTAAATATTATTTGCCTCTGTCTTTCCTCTTCTGCCAATCAAGCAAAACAAATGAGAAACAAAAAAATCAACAGAGGCCAAAAAGAAGTAGGAAAGCAAACCAAGAGAACCAGACTCTGATGTCTGAATCAACAGACTATGACTGATATGCTAGGAAATGAATCCAGTGAAAAGAGTGAGCAACATGAGGGAGCATGGACACAGCACGCAGAATCACAGCAGACATGCGGAAAGCACGAGTCAGGTGAAATGTCTAGAAATCAAAAACAATGAAATTGTCATCTGAAAGAGTCATTAGTATATATACTACAAAGGAAAAATCAAAAGCATGCAGAAGAAAAAGAATACAGAAAATGACAAGTAGTTTAAATTAGCAGTCATTTAATTAAATTAATTCGATCTAAATTAATACACAGTATATTAATGCACTGTATCAACTAAGACAATCTAAATATACCAATTAAAATGTTATAAGACTAGACAAAAAATAGTAAGTCCCAATCATATACGATCTATAAGAAACCATCTTAAATATGACACAGAAAGGTTAAAAGTAGATAAAGAGAGAGCCAGCAAGATGGCCCAGCAGGTAGAGGCACCTGTCACCAATAACCTGAGTCCCTGGGAACCACATGGAAGAAGGAGAGAAGCTAGTCCTGCAAGTTTTCCTCTGACCTTCACATGCATGCCATTAGAGAGAGAGACAGAGAGAAGAGAGACAGAGACAGAGAGACAGAGAGAAGAGAGACAGAGACAGAGAGACAGAGAGAATAAATAATTTTTTAAGTAAAGGAGAAACAACATGTACTATGTAAACACTAATCACAGTAAAAGCAATACAAACATTAGCTCAAGAAGAAAACAATAATCCTAACTTCTTATGCACCTATCAATATTGCTTCAAAAATACAGAAATCAAAAGAAGACTGGAGCTGCAGCTCAGTAGTAGTGGACATGTTTAGAATGCACTGAGGCCCTGGATTCAATTCCCATAAAAAATAAAAATAACTAATTGGAGGTAAAGTAGATAAATCCAGTTCTAATTGAACACCTCAAAATTTCTCCCAGTAATTAACAGAAACATGCACAGTAACCATTTAGAAGCAATATAGAAGACCTACCCACTGTATTCACTCAATCTGACCTAATTGACAAGTACAAAAGATGCCATCCAAAAATAGCCAAATAGCTTTTTATTAAGAGCACATGAAAGATTCATAGATAGTCCATTCTCTGGCTCATAAAACAAATACTGACAAATATGGAGCACAAGACATATGCTATCAAACAACAAAGAACCAAAACTAAGCATTAATCATGGGGAAAAAAATGTAGAAAATTCTCCAGATATTTAGAAAGTGAAAAAGATAATTCTAAGCTGACAGGGAAATTATAAAACAATTTTAACTGAATGTAAATGAAAATACACTAAATTTGTATGATGTAGCTGAATCAGTGCCTAGGGAAAAACGTATAACACTAAATGATTATAAAAAAACAAAGTCTTGGGGCTGGAGAGATGGCTCAGCAGTTAAGAGCACTGACTGTTCTTGCAGAAGACCCGGGTTTGATTCCCAGCACCCACATGGCAGCTACGTTCTGTCCTTAACTCCAGTTCCAGGGGAATCCAAAGCCCTCTTCTGATCTCCACAGCATTGTACCACACAGGTGCGCTCACATACATGCAGGCAATACACTCATACACATAAAAATAATATAATTTTTTTAAGAAGTCTTAACTCGGTGGCCCAATAATTCCATTTCAGAAAGTAAATTAAAAAACAGATAAATTTAAATCCAAAGCAAAAAGAAACAAAATTGAGAACATAAAAAATAAAGAAAACTAAGACCAAATATTTATTCTTTAAAAGATAAGGAAATATTATGAACTTTTTATAGTAAATTTTATAACTAGATGAAATTAATGAATGTC